TATATAATATAATAAACTTACATACTGAAATTGGTGAATTTGCGACTCTCTCATAGACAAAACGATTATCTGTCCAATAATAGGATGCAAATTTGTGACTAGTGTGCTTCAGAGTGGGAACTGGTTACAACGCGCAAAAAAATGCCTCTGTCTCGGAAGGATAAAAAGCACTTTTGGATTAAGTGTGCAGGTAAATGCGACCTAGTATTCCGTGGTGATCTCTATAGTTACTCCAGATAATCATGGCTATTTGGCAATCTAGTATACACATTTTCCTCAAGTTGGGAACCCCTCGCATGCATGAAACTATACGTCGGAGACTTCTCTGTCCAAAGCAATTTCGATCAGTCCGCCTAAAAGTGGGAGACCGATACGATCGGCGCATGGGCCGCAAGCGGGGGAATGGCGCGTGCACAGACAGCACGGGGGCAGCGAGCCAAAAGTGCAGGGGCTCTTGTCTTGCTTAGTCGTGCCTGCGCGGGCCGGTCGGCATCCTGCCGGTAGTTCCCCCACCTGCAAGGCCGGCACTATTATTGTGCGCACTGAGTTCCTGTTTTTTTGCGCTGTGTCTTTTGGCATGCGTGTTTGTCAGCCTGCTCCTGGGCGGCGCCATGGCGATATGCTCCTCTGCACCCTCGCCCTCCTCGTCCTACTCAGCATGCACCCCGTCTGCTGGTCGAAGCGCCCAGGTGTAAGTCCAATTTTTGGTTATCAAGCACATTTAAAGGGGTTGGCTCGTTTTGCCTCGCTAATATATTTTAAGAGCTTGTACTGCCAGCCCCGAATCTGATTGGAGTGTCGTGAGAAAAGTGTCACGTTGGTTCCTTAAGAACATGCGGACAAGTTAGGAATTTATGTTGTCTTATGACTGCCCCTCCCACAGCGTCGCCCGGGCCTCCTGCATGCGTCCCACTTGATCTTCGAAGTCTCCAAAGTGTCGCACTGTGACGTACCGGGTAACGCCATCAGGATCTTGAAAGTTCACACAGGCATGGCAAACAAGGTGGACTTCTCCTTAGACGTAGAATTCAACATCACTCGCTCTGTCCGGGCTATCGACTCGGTGAGACAATCTTCACAAACTCCTTGCCTATCGCCCTGCGTGTGTAACAGAAGTTTGCGACCGTTCCTTCTTAGTTCCTGATCCAGATCACCAAATGCCGGGAGCTTGTCTCGTCCAACACCTGCGAGATATTCCACACCTGGCGATTCGAAAACAACCCGTGCAAGGGGTTCAACGACCCCCTCGCTCTCTGGGCTTGCCCCGTAAATGCCATGAAACCTCGCCCAGACTGCCCCTTCAAAAAGGTAGGCTTATGTTAGGCGCCGCGTCTGGTAGGCAACCTGCATTGGATAAAATGAAGAGCAGCTGATGTAAACATCAGTGTATGTGATGTGGAGAGGTTCGTTCTGACGAAGAAAACGAATCAGATCTTCGTGAAAGAATGTGCCTTTTACATTGTATGCTGCCATCTACACTTTAAAACTGTCTGCCTCCTTTTTTGCAGGGTACTTACGCCGTGCAAAATCTAACATTGGGCTCAGAGTTTATGGGAAATTGGCCGTTCCCCTATGAGGGCAACGTCTGGAGAGTACGCCTGGGTTTGTTGGAGACCAAGACCCTCTTCCACATGTGCACGGACATTGAGGCGCACGTGCACCGAGTGCGCGACAACTAATTGTGAGTGGGGAGGGAGAAAGAACAATAAAAATAAACTCAACAGCCATTTTCTTTTCAGTTTTCGAAACGAACTTGCAATAGTAAACACCAGCGCGACCAAATGTTTATTTTGTAATAATGGTCCTACTAATAATATAATAATAAACTTTAGGCACTTAAATGTAAGATCAATGAAAAATACGATAATTTCGAAGTAATTTCATCCCTCTAATTTATTAACTTTATATCACCCGACTGCGTATTTTATTTAAGCCGCAATATGACTTCGGCAGCTGTATTCTTAAGGCAAGGCATTGGCCATGATTAAATGGTAAATTACTCTTAGTTACTTTCCTTATTGTAGTAAATTAGAACAATGAAATGTCGCCATCTAAAGTCTGCTCCGCGGCTGGTCTACTTATCCCTAACCCTTTCAGCAGGCACGCCTACGCGCCCCGTGCTAAACTCTGCCTACCTTAATTAATTTCTAAATCTTAAAGCATTTGTTCCTCGAAGTCTAAACACATTAAATACACTAATAGCGAGCGCGGTGCGTGTGTGGAGATCACTTGGAGGCACGCGCGCCATCACTCGCCCTTCATAGTTTGTTTCAGTTCTCTCGCACACGCCACGTTTCGCTTGACATCTTCGTGGTGAATGGTGGGTGACACTGAAGTCACCGAGAGACTAGCGACTGACTCAGCCTCCAATCTCGGGAGGGTGATCGGAGAGGCCTTCTATAACCACGGTCTACAGATGGTAGGCTGGAAGAAGGTTTTCGGGTGGCCCTCCGATCGCCCTCCACCGGCGGATGGTGAAGGGGGTGGGGGAGGCCCACAACCACCCTCACCCCGAGCCCGCCGCCCGCTCCGCCGCGGTCCTCCTGGGGACTAGCCGCACCCGGGAGCCGTGCGTGGGCACCATGGACAGCCCGATGGTGATGGGGATCTCCTGGAAGGTCCTCGGGCCGAGCGGGTCCGGCAGGACGGTGAAGGTGCGCAGCACGCTGGCCGTCAGGGACTTCATGTTCATCATCGCGTAGCGCTGCCCCACGCAGTTGCGAGAACCGGCGCTGCAGGGAGGGCAACAAAAATTTATTGGTTTCTGAGGAAGGTTTTTGAAATTTTGAACATGTTCAGTTGCGCATTTCGGTCGGCTGTACTCACCTGAAAGGGATGTAGGTGAAGGGGTGCCTGCCAGTGCAGTTGTCGACCAGGAACCTGTCCGGGTCGAACCTCTCCGGGTCGGGGAACCACTTGGGGTTGCGGTGCACCGCGTACGGGACGACGACGGCAACCGATCCCTTGGGCAGCACCCACCCGGAGGGCAGCTTGACGTCTTCCTTGACCTGCCGGCCCCAGGTGCACACGGGCGGGAACATGCGCAGCGCCTCCTTGATGCACCGCTCCAGATACTGCAGGTGCTGCAGGTCCGCGTGATCCACGGGACGCGTTCTCTCCTCGCCGAACACCACGTCCAGCTCCTGCGGGAACACAAGCATGGCGTGAACGACGAGAAGGGGTAATGGAGACAAGGTAAGTAGTCGCCTTTCTGTACCAACTCACCTCGTGAATCTTGCTCTGGATGTCGGGCAGCATCGAAATCATGATGAAGAAGAAGCTGAGGAAGTCCGTGCTGGTGGTGGAGCCGGCCCAGATGAGCGTGCGCAGCTCCTCCTTGATCTCGTGCTCGGAGAGCGTGGCGCGAGCGTCGTGCGAGGCGAGGACGTGGTCCAGGAAAGCGAGTCGCTTCCCGTCGGGCCGCTTACCCTGGCTCAACAGCTGCAGCTTGTTGGTAAACACCTAGGGACGAAACGAGACGTTAGTCTGCCGCCCGCCTGCCTGGCAACCCAACCAACACCCCCCCCCCCCCCCC